ACACAAGGAAAGTAGTAGTCCAAGAGACAGAAAGGGCCATATAAACCGGAGACTGCATCAGCTTGAGATGAGAACTAGACGGTACCCAGCTACCACCAATGACCGCCCTGACAGGTAACATGACAGAGAGTCCCTGATGGAGCAGGAGAAAAGTGGGGTGCAGAACTCAAATTCTAGTAAAAAGACCAGACTTAATGGAGGAACCCCAGAAAGCACAGTCCCTGGACTCTCTGTCAACCCAGCACTAAAACCATTCCTGCGGCCAACTCTTCAGACAAAGATTAGACTGGACTATGGGACATAAAATGATACTCATGAAGAGTGTGCTTCTTAGCTCAAGTAGATACATGAGACTAAATGGGCAGTTTCTGTCTGGAGGTGATAAGAAGGCAGAGAGGGTCAGGAACTGGTTGAATGGACATGGGAAATCAGGGGTGGAAAGGAGGAATGTGTTGTCACAGTATAGGGAGAGAAGTTAGGGTCACATAACAATGTATATATAAATTTTTGTATGAGAGACTAACTTGAATTGTAAACTTTCACTTAAAGTACAACAATAAAGTAAAATAAAAATTAATTATTAAAAAAAAGAACAAGCAGAAATATAAGGTATGAAAAATGGAACTGTTTTGTGATCTGCTTAGGGATCTATTGCTGCATAACAAATCACCCGAAACACTGTGGCGTAAAACAGCAACAGTCAAGAAAAGCATTTGTTTTGCTCACAAATCTGCAATTTATGTAAAGCGTCATAGGGACAGCTTTTCTCTACATGACATCAGTTTAGGCTGGAGGACCCACTTCCAAGATGAGTCATACACATAACTAGCAAATTATTACTGGCTGTAGCTCAACTGGGGCTGTGGACCAGGAGCATTGTGTCCTCTACATGTGGGCATCTCCATGAGCTGTTTGACAGCTCTTTGACATAGTGGCTGGATTCCATGAGTAAGCATTGTGTAGTGTGGATTGAATAAAAAAACCAAACCCACTGCAGTCGAGTCGATTCCAACTCATAACAACCCTGAAGGATAGAGTAGAACTGTGCCATAGGGTTTCTAAGACTGTAAATCTTTACAGAAAGCATGTCTTTCTCCCATGGAGTGGCTGATGGGTTCAAACCGCTGACCTTTCAGTTAGCTGAGTGCTTTAACCACTGTGCCACCGGGGCTCCTTTAAAAAAAAAAAAAAAGTCATTACCATTGAGTCAATTTCAATGTATAGTGACCCCATAGGACACAGTAGAACTGCCCCATAGGGCTTCCAAGGAGCAGCTGGTAGACTGGAACTGCCAACCTTCTGGTTAGCAGTCAAGTTCTTAACGACTGCGCCACCAGGGCTCCAGGGCTCCATTAGTGGATTCAATAGTGACCCCCAAAAGATATGTCCCCTGGAACCTGTGAATGGTACCTTATTTGAAAAAAGGGTCTTTGCAGATGTAATTAGAGATCTTGAGATGAATTCATCCTGAATTCATGGAGGGCCCTAAATCCAATGACTGGTGTCCTTATAAGAGAAAGGACAGTGAGATCTGAGACAGTGACACAGGAGAGAAGGTGATGTGAAGATGGAGGCAGAGATTACAGTCACATAGCCCAAGCTAAAGAATGCCTGGAACCACCAGGAGCTGGAAGAGGCAAAGAAGGATTGTCTCCTAGAGCCTTTGGGATAATATAATATTCAATATAGTTAATATCCAATAAAATAGGGATGAAGAGGCTCATTACATAATGATAAAAGTTTCAGCTCATCAAGAAAACATAGAAATTGTAAACATTAATGCACCTAATAAAATAGCCTTGAATATTTGAATAAAAAATTATAAGAACTATAGGGAGAAACTGATAAATATACCATCATAATGGAAGATTCAAGACAACTATCATTGTTACAAATAGGTTAAGAAAAAAACAGCAAGGATGTAAGATTTCAACAGCACAGTTAATGAGCTAATAGACATGTATAGAGTTCTACATCCAACAATTTAAAAATATATATTTTCGTCAAGCATCCTTGGAACAAAAATTAGTTATGAAGAATGCTTCAACAGAACCTCTGCTTCCAACCATGATGGCATAACAGAGGGCCACATTTTCCCTTCTGTGTAAAACAAATACAACTCTGAACAAAATGTATAAAACAATGGTTTTCAGACAATAGTCCACACAGGACTATAATCCCTGAAGAAAGGGAAACAAATGCAGTGAGCCCTACAGTTGCACTAGTTTACTGCCAAGAGGCAATTCCCATGCCTCAATGTGGAGGGTAAGGAGGGCCCAAACAGAGCCCAGTGGTCTTGCTGCGTTGAGGAGAAAGAAATCAGTATTTGGGGAGGCCAAAGCAGCTAGAATCTTCAGGGAAGATTAAAAGAGTTGAAAGTGGTTGCTGAGAGTATAGAACTGGGCATGGGGAATGTGAGGATAGAGAAGGGTGGGGCAGGGGCCTTTTCACACTATTTGACATCTCAGTGTATTATCACAAAGTAAACATCTAGCTAATCACCACCCAAGTCAAGATATAAACATTGCCAGAACTCCAGACCTACCTTCATGCCCTTTCCAGCTGCTGCCCTCTTCCTGCCCACCCAAGAAGGCATCTTTCTGACAATATACTGATTTTTATGATAACCACTGCCTTGCTTTCCTATACTGGATAAAAGTTACACCCCGAATATGTATCCCTGACCATTAAGTTTAGCTTTTCCTGTTATTAAAAAAAAAATTTATTGAAGAATAATATCCATACAGAAAAGTTCACATACCCTAAGTGTATGACCTGCTGAATTTTCACAAAAGGAATCCACCCGTGTAACCAGCACCCAGATCAAGAACCAGCAACCCAGAAGCTCTCCCTCATGCCCACTTCCAGTCATCACCTCCCCCAAGGATAACTGACCTCTAACAGCATAGATAAGTTTTGCCTGCTTTTGTACCTCATATAAAAGGAATAATACAATATGTATTATTTTGTGTCTGGCTTCTTTCAATCAACATTACTCTGTGAGATTCATCTACATTGTGTGTAACTGTAGTTTGTTCCTTTTTCATTGCCGTATACTATTCCACTGAGTTAATATACCACAGTTCATTTCTCTACTTTACTGTTGGGTTGTTTGCAACTGGGGATTCTCTCTGAACATACTTGCTCATGTCTTTTGGTGCACATGTGCAGACATTTTTGCTGGCTCTGTATCTAGGAAAAGAATTGCTAAGTCCTTAGACATGTGTATCTTTAACTTTAGTAGACAATATTAAACTGTTTTGCAAGGTAGTGTTATTAATTCATACTGCTACCAGCAGGGTGTGAGAATGCCTGTTGCTCCATCTCCTTACCAATACTTGGTATTATCTGTTGAATTTTAGTCATCTTCATTATGACTTTTATTTTGCATTTCCCTAGTGACTAATGAGGTTGATCACCTTTTTTATGTTTATTGATTATTCGGATGTCTTTTCTTGTAGAGTTTCTATTCAAGTGTCTTGCCCATTTTTATTTTGGGTTGTCTGTCTCTGGATATAAGCCTTTTGTCAATTATATGTGTTGAAAAATTCTCCCATTCTGTGGCTTGCTTTTGCACTCTTCATAGTATTTTATGATGAACAGAAGTCATTAATTTTAATATAATCCAGTGTATCAGTCTTTTCCTTTGTAGTTAATGCTTTTTGTGTCCAGTGTCCTTATGCTGAGGTCACAAATATATTTTCCCACACTACCCTGTAAGAGCTTTATTGTTTTACCATTTGCATTTGGATCAATAACACATTCAAATTAATTTTATTCTGTATGTTGCATTCTGTACAGTGTGAGATAGGGGTCATTATTCTCTGTTTTTTGTCTTTGTTTTTGTCCAAATGGGTATTCAGTTGTCCCAGTTTGTCCTTATGGGTTCATCCTTGCTCTCCTCCACCTCATATCCAGCTCTCCTTCTTGACTGTTGGTCCAGCTTACCTATACAGACTTAAGACCCAACACCAAATGCAGGGGCAACAGCCTTGCATGGATTTCTCAACCAGCTCCTTCATTTCCAAAAGTTCTAATTCCTATAACAAACTCCTTATTTTATAGCTATCATTTATAGTGATTCTGCTTGTCTAATCAAACCCTGACTAATATAAAACTCTCAAAGAACATGGCGAGAGGACTCACTCTACCAGATACCAAAAGTTATTTTAAAGTTGCCATTATTAGGATAGTGGTATTAATACAAGAATACATAACCCAAATAAATGAGACAGAATTCAGAAATAGATCTGCACATATATGGACATGTGATTTAATATCAAGTTCTCACGGAAGGAACTTCGATCTGGCTCCGACTCACCTCTGTGGACTGGGAGAGGAAAATAGCCAAAGAAGGAGGGTCTGTAGTTAGACAAGCACACAGCATTAGTTTCTTTTCTTTCTTTCTTTTTTTCAAGTTTAACGAATTGGTGATTTTTTTCCCTCCACTTAAAAATGAGTTAAAAAAAAAATCAGAGGACATCATCTGAAAAATCTAAAATCCTTACATACTTTCTCTCCTGCCCATTGCAAACCAGTTATATTTATTCTATAAACAGTATTAGCTTCTCATAAAAACAAATCTAAGCCTTTTAGAAGAAGACTGGGAACCCACCCACTGTCACACTCCATGATGGGATTGACACTGAACTCAGTTCCATTGTGTTCTGTGGGCTGCAGGCTTTGCAGAGGCTGTGCCTCTTTCAGCATAAGCATTTCGTAAGATGCCTCTGCCCTTCCTGAGACAGCCAATGCTGGAGGCAAATGGAACCACCTGCCTTGAGTAGCTGGGGCTAGACCACAAGACCCCTCACCACTCAAGAGCACTGGGAGCTTGCACCCACCAGACCCCATCCCCATCTGTGAAGAAGGAAGGACACTCAGACCTGGCTCTGTGCCAAAATGTTTATTTTCAGCATATGCTTGTGCCTGGATGACTAGGAGGGCGACTTTCTGGGGAGTCTGCGACTGCCACAGTGAAATCTAGGGGAGTGGCCAGGTCACCAGAGCCAAAGGATGAGGATTGAGAAGGTGGTGGTAGCCACTAGGGCAAATGGGGAGGCTTTTGAGGGCCTCTGGAGGACGTGACTGGTTGGCCACTTGTTCAGCTCCAGGTCATGACTCGCCGTGAGGCTGTGGCAGGAGGTGGGAGTGGCAGGACACGCCCAGCAGCCTGTCTGGAAACTCATCCTCCACAGGGCTCTGCCCACTGTTTTCCTCTCTCACCTGGGGGTGGGAGTCAGCAGTCAGTGGCTCCCACAGCCCCCTCCTCACCAGCTCAAACCACTGGAGCATCTTTTTGACTAGCCCAGCATAACTGTTCCACTTGTCTGAAGACCCTCAGCAGGTTTCCGCGAAGGACATCCCAAAGCTCTTCCTCACTCCAGCCACGTCTCAACAACTCCTCTATCAGCACCGGGTATGTGGATACGTCCTCCAGCCCTTAAGGGAATCTGTGTGGCCACCCACCAGTCAGCTGTGGGACCTCAGCCTTGATCTTGCTCTAGGCCTTCTACCCAATGTGTTCAGGGCCCATTGATCCACCAGCCCCAGCCATTTATGTGGGAAACTGAAGGCTCACTGAAGCCATGTTCTTCACCCTACTGAATGCAACTTTGGAAGCTCCTTGAAGGCTGGGTTTCTGCAATACGTCTGCTGGGCTGGGAGTGGGAGCATGTTAGGCAGATGAGCTGTGTCTGGGAGGGGAGGAGTACTTAGCAAGTGTAATGACCTGGAGTGGGTCCACTGGACCACACGAGACACAGAGGGAGCCCTGGAAACAGGCCTGGGAGTGGCGAGATGTCAGGTTGGCTGGAAGACCAGAGCCTGTGGTCGAGACCTCAGGATGGGAGGACCACGAGATGGGAGACTGAGACTAAAGGCCTCCCTGCTGTATCCCAGCCTAAGACAAAACCCAGGGAAATACTTACCGGCCAGACCCATCATAATTTCCACTAATCCCGATGAACTCAGATCCAATGACTGCCCTGATGTGGTCGAAGTGATCTAGAGGGGTAGGGGTTAGTGGAGGGCAGCACCAGGTTGGAGTTAGACCCTGGGACCAGCCCTAGTCTGGGGAAGCTCAGACCCTCACCAGTTTCCCCACCCACAGCACTCCAGGCCATGACAGTTGATTCCATAGAATTCATGGCCAGTTGTGAGATCTGAAGTGGCTACAGGTTAGGCTGTGGACCTGGAGTGGACCTCAGCACTGCCTATTTGGGCCTTTTCCTGCCCAGAAGCCACCCTGCCTTTGGGTTCCTTGAGAGTCTAATGGGGTCCTGCCTATCCTGCCCAGAGATGTGAGGGATAAGAGAGGTTCAAGGACTGGGAGCAAAAATGAGACCCAGAGGCAGAGACCTGAGGGGCTGCCAGTGCATTAGTCCAAGGAAGGGTCAGGACCCTCTGGAAGCCCTACCAGAAATGCAGACTGTTAACACCTGGCCCCTGTGTTTGACTGCCTCCACACACCCATCAGTATCAACTCTGTAGCCCCAGTTCTGGGTGGCACAGAAGATCTGTGTCTGCTGCCCCTAGGTTCTTGGGAGGTCTGCCTATTGCCCAACAGGTGTGCCAAACTGAGGGTCCCGGTGGCCCAAGCCAGAGCTGCACAAGGAGCTCACCTGCCACAGTGGACACATTGGCTAACAGGTTGCACTGCAGCACCCTCATGGACAGCGTTACCATTACGATGCCACCATTCTTCTTCTATAGGGATAGACAAATGGACACTCAGCTTGTCCCTTCCAGCCTGACTGCCTGCCCTCCTGTACTCTGGTGGTCCTGGTAGGACAGTGCTCAGCCTTGGCTTCAGGAGATGGAAGAGGCCCCACCTCTCTGGGTTTATGGGTTCCCTGGGTGGAGCTTATTTGGGCCTGAGTTTCAGTGATGGAGGAGCCTTGGGTTGAAGGGAGCCTTGGGTTGGAGGGAGTGTGAGGCCTGGGCCAGTAGCTTTGTTTAGGTTCAAGAGTCTTTGCATGGAGCATGCCTAGCCCCGGGTTCAAAGGCTGGGGTGACTGCTCACCAGAAGCTGTAGAATGTCATCGGGAATATTCAGCAAATAGTTGCACACGGCTCTGGCGGCTGAGTGGGAGAAGATTACAGGAGCCCATGACACCTCCAGGACCCGCCGTACCAAGGCATCCGATCCATAGGGACAAGTCCACCATCATGCCCAGGCAGTTCATTTCCCTCACCACCTTCTGAGGGACAGGTTGGGGGGATATCAGGGGTACACGTGTGAGCACACATATCTGTAGGGAGTGGGTAGGGAGGGATATGGAACCAGGGTCCTCACCTCACCAAAGCTGGTCAACCCGCTGACATTGATATAGAAGTGGTGTTTAAACTTGGTGGAACTCTTTGCCCTGCAGGACAGCCAGGAGAGGGCAATATAGCTGGCCATACCTTGGCCATCAGAACCTAGGGGCTCTGTAGTCCCTCTGTCTGTCCATCCATCCCACTTCTAGAACAGGAGCAAGGACCCACGACCAGCTGCTTTCTGGAAGTGTGAGAGACCTGCTGGCAGTCCATCCTCCCTCTAGGAGCCTCTCTAATCTCCCCTTTCTGGTCAGGCCCATTCCAGGGATGGGCAGTTTCCCTATCACATGTTTGGCCATTCCACCCTGGCCAGGCACTATGCTCACCAGGGAGTGCTGCAGGTGAAGGTGAGCGTCAGGTAGCGCACTCCAAGCAGATAGAAACTACGCAGCACAGCGAGGCTGCTGTCCAGTGAGTGACCACCCTCGACGCCAATGAGGCAGGCCAGCTTTTGAGTGCTGTTCAGACCTGGAGAAGGGTGTATCAAGTGGTTAGGGCCTGGGCCTGAGCCACCAGACTGAGCCTCTGACCATACCCCACCTGCCAGCCCACCTTCAGCTGAGGTCACAAGCTCCAGTTCAGAGTAGGATGCACATATGCATTGAATGAGGTCAATCTGCTCCAGTGTGAAGCACACAGCATCCTGGTCCTGGGTCTGGCATGGGACGTAGGCCGACCAGAACTGGGAATAGGCCCGGGAGTCTAGATTGAGGCCAGGGTGGTCTCCAAATCCCCTAGCCTGTCACACCTGCCTCAGCCACCATGGGACCCATTGGGCCAGTGGCCTCAAGTTAGACACTGCATAACCCCATGTTACCTTCATGCCTATTAAGCCTATTCCCAGTGGCTAAACTCTTGGCACATCATGGCCTGCTATTCTTTTTCCTGTGCTATCTAAATACTCCAAGGCCAATTCACCATGTCCTAGGTGGTTCCAGAAGCTCCTACACTCACCAGGGGATTTTCTGTCACTTTATGTGTGTCCTCACAGAAAATAGGTGCCCATACAGCTGGCCTGTCTTCGTCTCCAAGGTCCCCACACTCCCCAGCAGCTACATCATGACACACTGTGTGCCCCATCGTACCTAGTCACATAGGGGCTGGCCTACCTAGGTTTATGTGGCCCCAACATTCCCCAACAGCCCTGTCATGGCACCTTGTGATACCTGGGCACCCACGAGGCCGTCCCTAAGCCTGTTTAAGCCGGCCTGGCCACGGCTGAAATTGTGCAGATTAACATCCTGTAGCTTGTTCTGGAAAAGATGTGCCAAAAGCAGAGGCAGGTCGTTGTGACTAGAGGGATGTCAAGACAGGGTCAGAGTGGGGATCCATTCTCCAAGTCAGGCAGGACATGTCAGCAGGCCTCTGCCTGTCCCACCCCCACCTCACTCTGTCATTCAGACAATAGGGAGATCTCCTGAGGCAAGGCTTCAAGGGGGGATTCCACCAGGAATGGAGTAATGGTGGGGGAGAGAGCACCAAGGGGTGGTGTGAGGGAGTCTCCTCACTAGCCCTGCACACTGAGGGCCCTGTCCCCTGCCCAGAGATGCCTTCAGCTACCACCAATCCCTGCACCGCCCCTACGCACCCGTCCACTAGTGGGAAGGCCGGCATCAGGGCCCGCGCACGCTCTCTAAGGCTGGGGGCGCTGCGGACGCCTGCCGTGGTCGGGGCACTGGGGGCGTCTGGCGGAGTCAGGGCGCAGGTTATGCATGCGGGAGGCGGTGGCAGAAGCAGCAGGAGCAGTAGGGGCAGCAGACGCAGCCGGTCGAGCCCGTGGAGACCCTTGAGTCCTGCGAGCCGCATGATACACAGGGCCCGGTAGGCGAGTGTGGGGGCCAGTCGCGGCAGCCTGAGGAGGGAGAGTCAGAGTGCCACGATGGGGTCTCGACCCTGAATTCAGGAGACCCTGCAACGCCGCCTCCCAAGGAAGGGGCTGGAGTCACAAGACCCTGCGAAGGACGCGCGGGAAGCCGCGACACAGAGTAGCACAACCGCCAGAGGGCAGCATGGCCTTCCTGCCCCTAGCCCGAAAGGGGTCTTCCTAATCTCACTCCCTAGCTAGACAAACCAGGGACCTATGTGTGAATTTAGCTGCAGGGATGTGTTCTACCTCCCCAACCGGTCAAATATTCCATGAAACGCTAAGCCCCTATTTAAAAGATTGAATTAGATATACTGTATGTGTTTTGACTGCCAGAAATTCTTTCTATACTGTTACATGAAAAGTGACATTTAAGAACACTATTTATGGAAGGAGACCATTTTGTTTTAGCATCTAGTATTGCATTTTGTTTCTGTGCATATATTAATACACACACAGAAAAAGGCTGTAGAGGAGTCTACATATCAAATGTTAATTAATGGTGGCCATCTTCGGAAAGGGGTTATCTACTGTCTTTATGTCTCATCTCTTACGTCTCATCTCTTTCTGTAGTATGGTCATCCTGGCTGAGGACGGTCGTGGGTGGTGCTGGTGAGGGCTGAACTGGTGGAAGGGGTTTGGTGAAGGCACCAGAGCAGAGGTGAGCTATGAAAGGGGATGGAGTTTGGATCCCACAAAGGGGTGGAGAGGGCATTCCAGGTTGGCCAATGGCTCAGGCAAAAGTCTAGTTTGGGCAGGACAACTGTGTTTGGGGGATGAGCCAGAGGATCCTCCAAGGCATAGAGTAGGAGGGACAAGGTCATGTCCAATGCATGACTTCACTTGGGGCAGAAATCCTCCTTTGAGACAAGGTGGTCTCCAGGCTAGCTGGAGGCCTGGACAGTATAATTAATCATTTTCTGCTGGAAAAGCCCCAGTGTAGGGGAGCTGATCTCAGAACTGTATTTGGGCTGTATCTGAGCCTCCTGGGCCTGGACCAAGGAGCCCTGGTGGTACAGTGGTTAAGCACTCGGCTACTAACTGAAAGGTCAGTGGTTTGAACCCACCAGCCGCTCCACAGGAGAAAGATGTGGCAGTCTCCTTCTGTAAAGATTTACAGCCTTGGAAATTCTATGGAGGGGTTCTACCCTGTCCTATAGGGTCACTGTGAGTTGGAACTGACTTGACAGTAATGGGTTTGGGGGGCCTGGACCAGGTTTTGTCAAGCTGAGAGGGGCCAATAACACAGACTGAAATCTGAGTTGCCCTTCTTCTGTGTCTGCCTGTTGGGCTCCAAGACAAGCGGTCCTCCACTTCAGAGCCCCTGGAGAAGGACCTTGGCCTCAGGGTGACTACTACCCCCTCTCTATCTCTGCCTCCTTTGTGTCTTGGGGTTAAAGACCATCTGCCTCCAGCTTTTGCTTTCTCAGGAAGGGCAAAAAGAAAGAGAGACAGGGTTTATTCTGGTCTCTCAGAAACTTGAGTGGATCCTTTATTTAAGTGACATTGAACAAAATAGTGAATGATGACTTTGCTAATAGTTTATCAAAAGTACAGAAGCATTGCACTTACAGCTGTTTCCTATATTCATCTCAGGTGAAAGGAGAGGGCATAATGCTTAAAATTAATTTTAAAAATATTATCAAAGTAATACATAAATACAGTTTAAAATGTCTAGTTAGAGTTGAGTAGGTAAATCAAAGTTCCACTCCTGACAACAGCTAGGAAAATTGGGCAAAATATAAAAAGCATCTTTTTGTATGTTGTAAAAATATATATATATAAAGCATCTTCTTGAAGGTGCCATAGAGTTAGCAAGATATTGAAGAATTACTTGGAGATGATCCAGGGGGGGTTGCAAGCCCAAAGAGATAAGCCTGGCCTTTGGGGCTGTTTTTTCCCTTAGGAGTGTTATGCGGCTAAGGAAACTGAGATTAGTGCCCAGGGACCACCAGGGTAAGAAAGGACCTGGTGAACTAGCCTAGCTTTGAGTTGGAACACAAAGGAATACACCTTCGGAGAAACAGTGAATCAGAATTAGTACCCCGCAGGCCTGCAGCTGGGCTGGTTATGAAGCAATTGTCTCTCAAGTCCAGATCCACCCTTCTGCACTCTGCTCTGTGATGCTGGGGCTTGAACTCTTGAAACCACATTTCTAGATCCCTTTGCTACCTGGCTTCCAGTTATGTTCTGCCAATAGGAGTTGCCAGAGGGAAATAGAAAAAGATGTCTTTTCTGTTTTCTGTTCCGGTCCTTGCTTCTTCAGCTGTGGCAGTTGGCTCCAGTGTCCAGCTTTTGTGTCTGACTTCTTTCAGTCAGGATTGTGTTAGTGAGGCTGCAAGTTCTTCTACCAACCACCAGCACTGGGCACCTGTGCCACTGAACCCACTTCCACTGCAGAGAAGTACTCTCATGCCTGCTTCCATGTCTAAAATGTTTATTTGCTGGAAATAGTTGTGCCTGCACAACTGGGGCAGAATTTCGTGGGGTGTCTACGGCTGCCATAGTGACATCTGGCAGGACTGACTGGTCACCAGAACCACAGGATGAGGACTGGGAAGGTGGCAACCACTGTGAGCCCTGGGGCCATGTGGAGGGAGGATTTTGAGAGTGACCACTTAGATGATAACTTGAGTGTTCAATGTGTTGGAGTCACAATTGGTTTCTGGTCTGGAACAAGATCTTGTCTCTGGTGCAGACGCGGGAGGACAGAACGGCAAGAGCTGCCCAGCTGCTCATCCGGGAACTCATCCTCCAAGGGACTTTGCCACTTGTTTTCCTCCCGTACCTGGAGGGGGCAGTTGGTGGTTAGCAGCTCCCATAGCTCTGTCCTCCGCACCTGCTCTGGCACCTGAGCTACCCTTTTGCCCAGCCCAGCATACCTGTTCCACCTGTCTGAAGACCCGCAGCAGATTTTCACGAAGGACACTCTGAAGTTCCCCCTCACTCCAGCCACGTCTCAGAAGCTCCTCTATCAGCACCGGGTATGTGGACACATCCTCCAGCCCCTGAGGGAACCTTTCAGGCCAGCTATCAGGTCTTAGCCCTGGTCCCCTGGCCAGCCTGACCCACAGCCATAGTTCTATGTGCCTATGACCCACTGAACCCCAGCCCTGGTCAGATATGGGAAGTGTAGACTTGGAAGGAGGTAAGTGATTCACCCTGCTCTTCATCCTTCAGAAGGAGGCCCTGAAACCTCCTTGAATATTTGTCAAAACTCATTGAATTGCACTATTAAGATCTACACCTTTCACTGAATGCAAATTTTTCCTCCATTAAGAAGAAGAAAAGCTTCTTAAGAACTGGGCTAATCCTTGCATGTGCAGGCCTGGCTGCAGGCAGGGCAGATGCTCAGCCCACAAAGACCTTGCTGATAGTCTGCTTAGAGAAGTGGGTCTGCTGGGGTTGGGAGTGGGTGCACATGCTGGGCAGATGAGCTCTGTCTGGTGGCAGTGGAGGCTCAGGGCTTAGCCAAATATAATGATCTGGCATGGGACCACTGGGCCACAGGAGGGACATGTAGAGCCCAGGAAACTGACCCTGGAAGTCGGGAGATGCCAGGTGGGCCAGCAGACTCGAGGCTCTCACCAAGGCCTAAAGGTCATAAGGACACGGTATGGGGGCATGGTGACTGTGAAGGCCCCATGGCTGCACACCCAGCCCCACACAAACCACAGGGAAGCACTCACTGGCCGGCCCCGTCGTAATCACTACCAATCCCGATGAACTTGGATCCAATGACTGTCCTGATGTGGTCGAAGTGGTCTGGGGGGATGAAGAGTCAGCAGTGTGGGGCTTCCAGGGCAAGGCTAGGGTGGGGACTGGGCTCAACTCTGCTGATCCCCCATTTTGCAGCCTGTAGCCCACACAGGCCAAGCCCTTCATGGCCTGGTACCCAGTATGGTAACTTGAGGGCCCTGAGGTCTGACCTGAACTGATGCCAGCTGGCTCTTGATCAAACTTCAGGTTTGGAGTGGACTCCAGAGCCACCCCTATGGGCCATTCCCTGTCCAGGATTCACCCTCTCTCCAGTCCCCTTGAAAACCTGGTGGGGGCTCCTCTCCAGAGGTACAGAGAATAAGAGAGGGACAAAGAGTGCAACTGATGACCCCTAGAGACCTAAGGGGCTGTCCAGTCCCTTTGCTGGAGGCAGGGACAGGGCACTTTGGGAGCCCCTGCAGAGGAGCATATGGTTAGCATGAGACATCTGCATCTGACTGTCTCCCTTACACACATCAGTATCACACTACCAACTCTGAGGCCCCAAAGTTCTGTGGACTGTCTATCACTGGACTTTCGGGAGTTGTGTCTCCTGCCCATAGGTAGGTCAAACTACTGGGGCAGTCCTGAGGCCCCCAAGGCTTCAGGCCCAAGTCAGAGCTGTTCAGAGAGCCCAGGACGAGGCTCACCTGCCACAGTGGACACGTTGGCTAACAGGTTGCACTGCAGCACCCCCACGGACAAGGACACCATCACGATGCCACCATTCTTCTTCTGCAGGGGTGGACAAATGGACACTCAGCTTGGCTTCCTTCTGGGCCCCTGGGAGGAGGGTGTTCAGCCCTGACCTTGAGTGTCAGAGGAGACTTCACTTGTTGTCTGGGTTTGTGTGAATGGAGACGTCTCAGCCCTGGTTTGAGTGGTGGTATCTTGGCCCCGGGTTTGAGAGGAGAGGAATATTGACCACCTAGAATCCCTAGGCTCAAGAGTTCGGAGGCTATGGACTGTGGGTTTGCAGGGCAGGTGTTCAGGTTCAGGTTTGAAAAAGACGAGGGGGCAGGAGCTCTGGTTCCAGGCCTCCTTGCTTTAGGTTCGAGGGCCAGGGCAGTCTCTTACCAGAAGCTGCAGGATGTTATCAGGAACGTTCCGGGTGTTCTTGCACACACCCCGGGCACCTGAGTGGGAGAAGATCACAGGAGCCTGTGACACTTCCAGGGCCCGCTGCGCCACAGCGTCCGAGACGTGGGACAAGTCTACCATCATGCCCAGGCGGTTCATTTCTGCCACCACCTTCTGCAGGGACAGGTTGGGGGAGGGCCTCAGGGATGCACATGTGAGCACATATCTGTAGGGAACAGGTGGGGCGTGTGTGCTCGTGTAGGGCAGGGCATGGAACCAGGGTCCTCACCTCACCAAAGCTGGTCAGTCCACTGACATTGTTGTAGAAGGGGTGGATGCCCTTAGTCGAGCTCTCAGCCCTGCAGGATGGCCAGGACGCAGTCTGACAAGTGGCCACACCCTGGCCACAAGAGCCTAGAGGCCCTGCCAGACTCTCTATCCCTGCAAGCCCCTGGAGCAAGAGCAGGAACCCAGGCAGTTTGGAGGTCCCTGCTAAGGATGCAGTCTCACCGTGCAAACCCCAGCTCCCCTCCCCACTCCAGGGTAAGTGCTGAATTCTAGGGAAGAGCATTGGCCTGAGCCCTCAGTGTGACCTCGGGCAGATTCCTGCCTCATTGGGCCTACATCAACAGATTGTGCTTACCAGGGCGTGTTGCAAGTGTGGGTGAGCGTCAGGTAGCGTACTCCCAGCACATAGAAGGTACGCAAGACGGAGAGGCTACTGTCCAGTGAATGGCCACCCTCCACACCAATGAGGCAGGCCAACTTGTGGGTGTTGTTCAGAGCTGGGGGCAGGTAGGTGAGCTGATCACTTTCAGAGGCCTCAGTTGCTCAGTCAGGTCCCTGACACCCCTCAGCAGTGTGCCTACCTTTAGCAGAGGTCACAAGCTCCAGCTCAGAATAGGAGGCACATATGCGGTGGATGAGGTCAATCTGCTCCAGGGTGAGGCGCACAGCATCCCGTCCTTGGGTCTGGCATGGGACATAGGCTGACCAGAACTGGGGAGAAGACTAGGAGTGGACTTGGGCAGGGAGGAGCTGCCTTGGAGCTCTCTGGGTTTCTCAGAGCCTCCACAACCAGCACAGCACCCAGTGGGCCTAGAGGCCACATGGGAAATGCTGTTTGTTCTGTGGTACCTTGATGCCTGCCAAGCTGGCTCACTCTAGCCCCAGCAGCCCCCAGCATCCGTGTCATGGCACTTTTCGCATCACTATGGTAACTGAGTTCCCATGTCACTAACCTGTTTTGGTCTCTAGGGCCTCTGCACTCCCCATCATACCCCAGCAGCCATGTCATGGCACCCTGAGTGTCCCTGTGGTACCTGGGCGCCCACAAGGCCATCTCTAAGCCTGTCCAGACTGGTCTGGCCGCCGCTGAAACTGCGCAGGTTAACATCCTGTAGCCTGTTCTGGTAAAATTTCCTCAGGATCAGGGGCAGGTCGTTGTGGCTGGAGGGATGTCAAGACAGGATGAGGTTAGGGACACGTGGATGGGCCTCTTAGGACTCCAGATAAGGTAGAATATGTCACAAGGACTGGGGCTGTCAGGAACCCACTCGACACTGTCACACAGACTATACACGCCCCTTGAGGCCCGACCAGGGGTAGGGGGAAGAATTCCTCCAGTAAAAGGGTGACGGAGGAGAGGGTGATGGGGGTGAGAGGGCACCGAGGGGTGGTATGAGGGAGCCTCCTCACTGGCCCTGCATGCTCAGGGCCCCCTCTCCTGCCCAGGGGTGCCTTCAGCCCCCATCCGCCCCCGCACCACACCTACGCACCCATCCACAAGTGAGAAGGCCTGCATCAGGGCCCGTGCACGCTCTCGAAGGCTGGGGGTGCTGGGGGGGCCTGGAGGCATGGTCAGGGTACTGGGGGTGCTTAGAGGGGTAGGGACACTGGGGGCATCTGGCAAGGTCTGGGCGCAGGTAATGGGTGTAGGAGGCGCCGGCAGCAGCAGTAGGAGCAGCAGATACATCCCTCGGAGGGCACGGGGACCCTCGAGGCCCACGGGCTGCATGATGCACAGGGCCTGGCAGGCGGGCGGGGGCCCGGTCACTGGAGCCTGAGAGGGAAAAGCGAAGGGTAGAGGGCAACGATGGGGTCCCGACTCTCGCTCGATTCAGGCTACTCAGTGGTGCGGCCTCTTGAGAAAGGGGTTGCACGGGGACTCGCGACAACGCACAGCATGACCGCCAGGGGGCAGCACGGTCTTCCTGCCCTCAGCCCGGGTATAGCCTCTGCCTTGGGCACCCACTTGCCTCCCTTGGTAGGCTCTCTCTGGCCCTGCTCCTATACCTGCTCCGACAGGTGGCTTTCTCCCCGTCCCCAAGCTTGCTCTTCCAGAGAGTGACCCTCTGCCCCGAGGCCTCTCCGGAACACATCACATTCCCTGTCTGCCTGCAGCCTGCCCTGGGCATTCCATGGGCTACCTGCAGGTGTTTGTCTGTGGTCATAGCACCCTGGGCTCCAGGCCCCCCAGACCTGGGCCACATGGGGGTGGAGGTTGGCAGAAGAGATAATCTCTGGGAAGAGGGGTTAACCTTAGGGACTACAGAATCACGAATGGGCTCTTTGCCCCTGACCTCATGACTGGGTACCCAGCCTTCTCTCTCCTCTACTTTAACCCCATGACCAAGTGTCCATGCCCTGGGGACTCAAGCCAGGAACTGGGACAGGTGAGGAGCGCCCCTCCCTATCTTCCCCATTCAGCCTCAGGAAAGAGCACCCTGCCAAGGAGATGCTCCACCTCCCCAGGGACGAGAATTGAGCAAGCATCTGGGGAGGGTCAGGGAACATCTACTCAACAGAGCAGAAACCAGGCAGCTGGCTATTTGGAAGGAAAGAAATAAGGTCATGTCCAGGGCAGCAAAGCCCCTCTCCCCAGCACTTTCCTCCCAGCTGCTGGCTTACCTGCTGGCCAGGATCCCTCCTACCTCAGGGTGGAAGCTCTGGCAGGTCAGATGTACTGGTCCTCCGGAAAGGCCTGGCACCGGGTTTCTGTGGCTACACCCACCTTATCTCTTGCTCTCCCAGAAACCTCCAGGGCTGAGCTTCCTTCCTTGCTGGGCAGGCTCCACCCCATTCGCAGCCTCCAGCCCTCACCCTAATCACCTCCTCCAGGAACCCCCACTCCTCACTCACCACATGCATTCAATTGGACTGGCCCTCTCTCACAGAGGACTTCTCTCCTGAGTGGCTGCAGGTTCTGTGCCTAAACTCTTTCATCCCCAGCGACCTCCTCCCCCTGCCCCTTAGCCTCTCAAGGTTTGCCCTGAACCTTGGTAGTCCCTGATTCACCTCTGGGGCGTTTCTCATGTAGCAGAGGTGAGCAACACTGAGTGACCTAAGTCTGGAGACTGGAGACCAAAGAAGCATTCCCCCCAAAACAAAAAGAGGAAAACTCTTGCAGAGGAGCTGGAAGTGTTGGGAAGGAGTCTCAGGCTGGGTGTATCTGAGGGTTGTGCACTTGATGTTGCCAGTGCCTGCTGGCCAGGAGGAAAGGAAACGAATGGTGCTGTGCTGGAGGCGGAGCTTTGAACCAGTTCGTTCTGGTTCCGAAGTGGGAACTTGTTAGAAATGCAAATTGCCAGCAGGGGGTTGAAACTGGCTGAGGGTAGGTCTGCAGCTGGAGGATCTCTAGGTGAATCCACTGCTGAGTGTGAGTCCCCTAGGGCTTTGTCTCAGAAAACAGCAGAAACAGGTGTGTCCCTGACTGGGGTGGCTCAGGAGCCTCAACCCAGGTCTAGCTCCCTTCCCTCGTCCACCACCCACTGCTGCAGTTGCCCCCTATACCCACCAGCGCAGCCAAGTGGAGAGAGGGGTGAGAGGCTCTTGGATCTGCTGGTCTCCAGGGCAAGGATGTGGGTTTAGGGGATAAACAGCTTGTCTGTTTCACTCCTGATAGCCCCCAGGAAGTAGGCAGAGGGGCTGTAAAGAATGGGTAAGAGGCGGGCAGGAAGTCCCAGTAGATAAATAACAGCTGCCTTCTTCTGCCTCCTCCTAACAGCAGGAGTGGGCGGGGAGAAGGTTGATTTTGGAGCTTCTCTCCAGGGGCTGGTGAACTCAACTCAACCAGGCCATGACCGCTATACTGCAGCGCATCACCACTCCCACACATAACGAGTGCACAGTATTACAGCAGCTGCCACGACGCCTGCACACCATAAGTGCTCATTCCACATTTGTTGTAGGCTCAGGAGGCTGCTATCTTCCCCCACCTCATGGAACAAGTGACAATAAGAGCAGCCAGAGTTACTGTGTGCCTGGAGCTGTGCAACCAGTTTGACATGCTTTAGCTCACTCAATCCTCACAACAGACCACAAACCAAAAACCAAACCCATTGCCATCGAGTTGATTTTGACTCATAGTGACCCTATAGGGCAGGGTAGAACTGCCCTATAGGGTTTCCAAGGTTGTAAATCTTCATGGAAGCAAACTGCCACATATTCCTCCTGTGGAGCGGCTGGTGGGTTTGAACCGCTGACCTTTTTGGGTAGCAGCTGAGCCCTTTAACCACTATGCCATGAGGCCTCCAACAACCCACAAAGTAGGCTTTTTACTAGCTCATCTTGTAGGTGAGAAAACGGGTTCAGCTGGCAGGTGGAACTGGATCTGAAACCAAAGTCCCCCATCCTCCAGAGTTTGCAAGCTCTCTTCCACTAGTTCTGCTCTCCCTCTGAGGCCACCGAGGAACAAAGCAGTTGTCCCATCTGGTGAACGCTCTTTCCTGACCTCCACACTCCTCTGCCCAGACACCATACTGAGTCCACCAGAACACAGGGCAGGGGAATCCTGCATTTTGGGGCAGCTCATGGGGAAAACAGGACTAAGTCTGTGGAGAAATGTGCTTAGCCTTCTGCTATACTGGACTGTCTGGGACCCCAGGCCAGACCCACCCAGAGTCTTTGTCTCTTTTGGCTCCACCTCTGCAGGTCCTCCAGGCCCTGGGAACTCCTCCTGAAGCCGGAGCTTGCAGCGAATGGCGGCCAGCTACTTGGTAAGATACACTCAGTCTACTCCTGCCCATCCCCTCTTACCTGTTCACCACTGCCAAGCTTACCTGGATTGGGATGGACTGGCTTTATTTTCAGAGAGGGTTCATGGGACATATGAAAGCCAATTGAGGAAACCAACAGTAGTAGGGAGAGTAGCCCATTGTCCCTGGGACAGAACCCTCTCTGGACCTGGCTAGGAGGGAGGACAGGTATGGGTATAGGAAGGCCAGCTGCTGGGGAGGCAAATGGTCACACTGATGCCTCCTGGCTGTGTCAGGGCTCCTCGGATCCCTTCACTTCTGGCCTCTGCCTTTTTCACCAGGAAAGGCCTCAAATTCCTTATATCCACCCATCTGTTTGTCCAGACATCCTTTACTGATCACCTACTGGGTACTGGCCCTTTGCTGGGATTGCACAGTGCAGTTGCTGGACAAGATATCAGTTATCACACATGCTGGCATATAAGCCCATAGAAGGGTGAGTTGTGGGGGCAGCCAGTGTGGGGAGCCAGCACTGGCCAAACGAACATCTACTCCTGGCATATATGATTTCTCATTTAGCCTCAAGTTCTGATTTGCTCTTTTGCTCAGCCTAGCCTGCTCACCTCTGAGACCTGTCAGACCAGTTTTCTGCAAAAACTCGCTATTGCTGTTCGTGGAACACCCTGCCTCAGAGCCCTCCATGCTCCCTGGTTTTATGTGGGAAGTCTGCACTCCTCTGCCTGGCTTCCAGGGCTTCCTATAAGCTAGTTGACCCTGTCAAGCTGACTACCTGAGCCCTCACCGACTGCAAACCTGGTTAAACAGCAGGCTGCAGCTGAGAAGCTTTTGATTTTTTCACTTTTTATTAGGGAAAATGCCAAACATAAAGAAGTAGAGAGAAGAGTGTATTGAGCCCCCATCACTCAGCTTCAACAATTATCAACTGATAACCTATCTTGTTTCATTTATACCCTCATCCATCCTCTTCTCCACAGTATTTTAAAACAAATCACAGATATTATTTCATCTACAAATATTTAAGTATGCCTCTTTAAAAGATAAGGGCTCTTATTAATAGATATAACTACCATATCATTATTAAAACTTAACACTTTCACTTCCTTAATGCCATAAAATATCTATCATGTTCATATACCCGACTACCTAATTTTTTTCAAGTGATTTGTCTGAATTATAATGTAGACAAGATCCCCACATTGCTTGGTTGTTATAGCTCTTCATTTGTAGGTTCCTCTTCCCTCTTTTTTTCTTCCTTATAATTTATTTTTGAAAAAAAATCTTGACCTTTGTCCTGTAGTTTTCCATGTTTTGGAATTTGCTGATTGCATCCTCATGGTATCATCGAATATGTTCCTCTGTGTCTTATATTTTCTATTCACTGGTAATTAGGGGAAGCTTTTAAAACTGCAGATTTCCAGGCTCTATCCTAAAAATTTAGGAATGGCATGGGTGTTGGGAAACTCTATGTTTCACAAGACCCCTCAGGTGAGTCTGTTTATTCTCTGCTGGCTGCTCCTCCATCACATTCCCCAGGACCAACCAGCTGTTCCCTTAACTGTTGAGAGAGACATTCCATGGTAACAGCCAGTACCTCCCTGCCATGGCACACAGCAGTTAGAGTGATCTTAATATCTACATCAGATCATTTCTCTGCCCTATTCAAATCCTTCCCGTGGTTTCCTATCACACTTAAGAACCACACATCACACCATGGCTGACAAGGCCCAGTATGATCTGGCTCACGCCTACTTCTCCAACCACATCTTTCATTCTTCTCTTTCAATTATTCCTCCCTAGTCACACTGACCTTTCTGCTGGTTCTGGAACCGGCCAGGCTATTCCTACCTCAGAGTCTTACACTTGCCGTTTCCTCCACTAGAAATGTTTCTGCCCACAGCTCTGCACATGGCTCATATCTCTGCTCAAATGTTGCCTCCTCGTCTTCCCTGACTACCTTGCGTAATGCAGCACCCCTCATCACTCTATCTTCTTATCCTTTTTCTTTATAGCAGTTATAACTATCTGAAATTATTTTACTTGTTTGTTTCTTCCCTTAGTTTGTGGGTGCCTTGAGGACCCAATCGATCAACTCATTCGCCAATATATCCCAAGCAACTAGCATAGTGGCTGGTATATAATAGGTACTTAATAAATATTTATTGAATAAATAGATGGATGGATGGATAGATAGAACAGTATCTTTTCAGTCTTGCCCTTCTTCTCCCTACACACACACACACACACGCACGCACGCACACACACACACACATTCATCAGGCTCTCCTTTCCTTAAAGAACCTGCTGTGTCCTGCTCCAGTTTGCACAGGCGTCAGTGAGAGACCCACATAGTTAGAAGCTGCACCCAAAGGCCCTTCTTGGAGGAAGGTCTTACAGGACCAGGCCTTGCCATGTAAAGATGTACTTCAAAGAACAGAGAGGTTTGGGGCCTGGCTTTAGAAAGGCTGGATTTCAAATACAACACTGTTACAGAAAATCATTTTATTGAGCAGTTGGGACCCCACAGGGGCCAGAAAGGGCTGGAATAAAGGAGCATGTGGGCCTCAGGAAGGTGCTGTTTGACTTCCTCCAGCCTCTCCTTGCTCCAGGTAGCAGGTCTCCTTGGGTTTCTCTATTCTGCCTCCTGAGACTCCAGATGGGAGGCTCCCTGAGTAGCTATAGATTGCTTCTTCCTGGTCTCCTCCAGTTTCAGGAAGCTCAGCCCCTCCTAGTTTCTGCTGGTGGCCGCTGGTAATGACTCAGAGCCAGGAGCCCCCTGCTAGGCCACTCTGTACCTTCCCTCTGCACCTTGTTCTTCCTTGGTTAGCAGAGTGCAGATTCTCTTTCTTCTGCCCAAGAAAGGACTCTAGAAGATTAAGCAGAGGAGCATCAGGTTTTCTTCCAGGCCAGCTTCAGCCTCGGTATGTTCAAAGCAGCCTCTCATTTCAAACCTCAGTTTCCAAGGCTCCTTGCCAATGGCCAGATGGTATGGAAGGGAGCTCCTGGCTGGGGAAGGCTCAGGCAGAATGGCTCAGGTTCTCATCCAGGGATGGACAGTGGCAGCCACTGCAAGAAGAGGCACTAGCTGTCTTAGGCAGTTAAACATGTGTCCTTTCCACAGAGTGGCTCAGCCAGCGAGCTTCTGGGGGGTCAGCCTCCTGCCATCATGCTGCAAGCGCCGAATTTTGGGGCTAGAGCAGCCTGGGTTTTCGTCTGATTCTGCCAGAGGCCGGCGTCTCTTGGGAGCCCTCCTGGGGGTTGGCGTCTCTGCTTCCACCTTTGCTGGGGTGGCCACAGGTGCATCCCCATAGGCCCGGTAGCCGCCAACCAGGCAGTATGTCTCCCCATGCCAGCCTACCTGGGTTTCTCCACACCCTCGGTAGAGGACATGGTAGTGACCAGGTGTAGGAAGATAAGTGGGAGCCACTGCTGCTGGGAAGAAAACCAGAACTGATGAGTCATGTTTGCTTTACACAGTTGGCTGCCAGGATCTCCCTTCTCTCACATCTCTCTATTTCTGGCTGAAGCCCTCTTAACTGCTTGGCATTCCAAACATAGCCCTAACCCATAGCTTCTAAGCATCCCCTGCAGAAGGGATGTTGGCTGCAAAAACAATTCTGTGGAGCCTATGGCAGCAGCTGGCAACTTGGAAATCTATTCCTCATCCCCAGAGAAAACAGTAGAACCCAAAAATGACTGCAATCAGTCTCCCTCAATCTCTCCCTTCCACAACCCAGGAAACATTTCTTAAGGCCTGTCACTTTTGAGGTATTAATGGAAATTGTTTCCAAGTTTTGGAAGAAAATCTACTATAAATTGGTTAAGAACCACTCCCAAGGAGCCCTGGTGGTGCAGTAGTTAAGTGCTTCGCTCCTAAGCAAAACGTCAGTGGTTTGAACCCACCAGCCACTTTGCGGGAGAAAGAAAACCTTGGAAATGCTATGGAGGCAGTTCTTCTCTGTTCTATAGGGTCGTTATGGGTTGGAATCGATTTGACGGCAATGGGTTTGGTTTTTTTAAGAACTCTTCCCGCCTTGGCAGTTCCTCTTGGGCCCCATTCATATTACCTGGTTCAACCATACTGAACTCTAGCCTTCTGATACTTTCAACTAGATTAGAAAAAGGCAAAAGTACTGGGGCAGAGTGAGCAGGAGGTTCAGAGCCAGATTCTGGGTACCAAATCTAGGCTTGAGGAGCCTCTTAACGTCAACGCCTCCTCCTGGGACACCATTTCCTCAGATCCCCAGTTTCAGTATCACATCATCTCCCCTTGGTTCTTCTGCTCTTCCCAGCTATGATACCACCCTTTCCCAGCACTCAGCATCTCAGTCTGAGATGTGTCTAAGGTGACCCATGTGTGTGTCTCATGACAGCACAGTGAAGGTGAAGGGTCTGAAGGTGAGCTTCATGAGAGGCCCTCCATAGCTCTTCCTCAAACTGCTGTCTATCCCTTGCCAACAAAAACATACTTGGCTTTTGCTGAGAGGGCAATCAGGAACGGGTCTGAATGGAAGCTTCATGTAGCACAAAGGGGGAAGGCTAGCTTTATAAAGATTACAACCTAATTTACCCAGGGATGACACCTCATTTGCTGTCAACAGTGAGCAGGGACCCCCAGACCATTGGTACTACTTATGGGGAAGTTCTGAGTTGTAGTGGGCAAGCCCAAAGGGAAGGGTAGCAGCCTGGTGAGGTTGGGTGTACAAAATACCTCTTGTGTAGATGCCTGGCCTAGGCCTACCTGCTGCACTGCCTTCCCAGGGGACAGAGGACAAATTAGAGTGAATATAGAAGATCCGGTCAGACATTCTCTCTCAAGCAACCAAACCGACTGCTATCTCGTAGAGAACTGGTAGGGAAGTTTCCCCGAGGGTACCACGTTTGCGTAGTTACGCTGCCATGGAAACTGAGAACACCTGTGAGGTCATCACTACCCAGTGAGGTCACATAAGGAATCTGTGACTTGAGGGGCAGGCTAAAGGCTCTCCGGGTTTTGTGGAGAAGAGCAGGGAGGAGGCAGAGAGACACCCTGCCTGGGCCTTCACACCTGGCCCTCTCCACCTATGTCCTAGTCAAGTGGCCACTTCCTGTGGAGCCCACCTGTGGGGCTGGCACAGCCACAGTGACCACAGGAGGGCAAGAGAAACCTAAACTCTAAGACTGCCTTGAGAGGCAAGATTGACCTAAAAGACAGCTAGGTTGTACGGCACTCACCACAAGCACTCAACAGTTGGAGAGAGATATTCTGATTTGTGTGGACAGGGGAATCAGGGAAGGCTTCTTGGAGGTAGGCCTGAAGGACAAGTGAGATCTGGTCATGTGGAGAGGAGAGGAAGGACATTCCAGTCAGGAAAAATAAAAGCAAAGAGAGAGACTGTTCTTGACCTTGTCCTGCTCCAAATGTAAATTCATAGAATCCTCACATTTTTAACAGCTGAGGACTCAAGAAAACTCAGAGGTTAAGGGGCCAGCCAAGGTCACACAGGTAGTGGAGAGGTGTTTTGCTAATGCTAGGGGGTCACTGAGGGCTTCATGTTAGGGCTTCAGATTTATAACTGATGGGATGTGAGGATAAGCTCATGACGTTTAAAGGTGATATGACACCGAAAGGGATGTTAAAGGTGCTCTAAGGCAGAACGAGGCTCCCGAATAAATTCACAGAGCGGGAATGAATGATGAACCCATTTAAACATGACGTTCAAAAAAAACCTAATAAACCGACAAACTTATTACTACACTCCCCTCCACTCAAAAAGGCAATGACAACCAACTCAATCATGATGAAATGATGAGATGGGAGGTGGACACCAGCCCAGGTGAAAAATGGTCAACAGTGATGAGGCACTACTGAGACAGAGGAGGAAACAGAAAACCCTGCTTTTAGCCTGATCAGGCCCACACTGCTGTTGTTAGGCGCCATCGGTCAGTTCCAACAGAACGAAACACTGCCCAGTCCTGAGCCATCCTCACAATTATTGCTATATTTGAGCCCATCGTTGCAGCCACTGTGTCATTCTATCTCATTGAGGGTCTTCCTCTTTCAATGACCCTCCACTTTACCAAACATGATGTCCTTCTCCAGGGACTGATCCCTCTTGATGACATATCTAAAGTATGTGAAATGAAATCTAGCCATTCTTGCTTCTAAGGAGCATTCTGGTTGTACTTTTCCCAAGACAGATTTGTTCGTTCTTCTGGCAGTCCATGGTATATACAATATTCTTCACCAACACCATGATTCAAAGGGATCAATTCTTCTTCAGTCTTGCTTATTCATTGTCCAGCTTTCGCATGCATATGAGGCCAATGAAAATACCATGGCTTGGATCAGGTGCACCTTAGTCCTCAAAGTGACATCTTTGTTTTTAACACTTTAAAGAGGTCTTTTGCGGAAGATTTTCCCAATGCAATACATCGTTTGAATTCTTGACTGCTTCTTCCATGGCCGTTGATTGCAGATCCAAGTAAAATGAAATCCTTGACAGCTTGAATATTTTCTCTGTTTATCATGATGTCGCCTATTGGTCCAGTTGTGAGGATTTTTGTTTTCTTTATGTTGAGGTGTAATCCATACTGAAGGCTGTAGTCTTTGATCTTCATCAGT